TTAGAGTTCGCAGGTTTACAAAGATATTTGGGAGTTAACTCGAAAAGGTTTAAAGAAAAAAGATTGACAAAGAATCAGACAAATAAGAAAATATTCTATGTTACGAACTCCAACTATATTAACTTTTTCCTTTAGTTTTGAAGCCTAAATTAAATTCCTGTTTTTCACGTACCAAGTTTATTCCACCTTAGTTTGAAGATATGTAATTTACTCCGACTTGATTTTGAAATACTGACTTCAAGGTCAGTTAACTACTACTCTGTTTTAAGATAAGTACATGAAGGTCAGTTTATTCCCACTCGGTTTTAAGATAAGTACATGTAGGTCAGTTTATTCCCACTCGGTTTTAAGATAAGTACACGAAGGTCAGTTTATTCCCACTCGGTTTTAAGATAAGTACACGAAGGTCAGTTTATTCCCACTTGGTTTTAAGATAGGTACTTTTAAGGTTAATTCACTCGCACTTAATTTTAAAATAAATACTTTAAGGTCAGTTTATTCACACTTGATTTTAAGATAACTACATGAAGGTCAGTTTATTCCCACTTGGTTTTAAGATAGGTACTTTAAGGTTAGTTCACTCATACTTAATTTTAAAATAAATACTTTAAGATCAGTTTACTCACACTTGTACAGACACAACAGAGAAGGAACTTCTTTTTGCCAAGGAAGGAGACTTTCAACGAAAGTGGACAGTTATGACAAGTCAGTTACGAAAAGTGTAGTAATTGAATTACCAATTAGTGTGGTTTTGTTAACATTCCCAATAATAAACATTTGGAATTCTAAGTGGAAATTTTATTATTTTGGTCCTTTGTAGGAATTATTCTACTTGAGGGAGACCGTTGTCTCCCCCACTTTCTATATATATATATACAAAGCTAGGGGAGATCGTTCCCCTATTCTAATTTTTTCTATACGCACACACCAAAGAAAAATACAAAGATTTTTTTTTCTTTCTTTGGAAATTTCATAATTCGTTTGAAGCTTTCTTCAGTTCCGCGTGCCATGAATACACGCATGGTAAAATCTGTTCGCCCTCTGTGGTCTTCCTCTCACAGTGAAACGTGACCCACTGAAGCTTCTTCGTGGTTACAGATCTTAACCAATTTACGTCACGTGATAGACACCCCCTGTATACTAGAGAAATGAGATAATTGTATCAAGACATCTCTACTTACCGAAAAGAACTCTTAGAGTAATTGAACCACCAGGGAGGGTGTCAGGCTTCTGTAAGACTATAACTTTACACTTCTATTTGCTGGCTGGCTGTATTGTTTCTGACTTCGTCACGAGAGGTCGCCACCGACCTCTATACATGAATCGATATTTTTTAAGCACGAATAAAGTTGTATTGCAATCAAATGTACGAAGATATGACGCTAAGACGACCTGCTGTCATCGGTTCATTAGCTGTTTGTTTTTAATCCACGGGCAGCAGTTTGTATGTATTTTAGGTGTTAAAAATAAGTTATACAATTACTTCTGAATACTAAATATAATTACTTATTAAAAGCACACAGATTATCCAATATTTTACTAAAAATAGTTACGTATTAAAAGCACGTGATTATCCAATGTTACTAAAAAAATATCCACTTATTAAAAACATGTGATTATATGTTAGTACAATAATTACAGTTGATCGTAGTGTAGCTATTCAAGTCAACCCCGATCTTATTAGCGAGAGCGAATTTACCAACAAACCCTTTACACACCAATCATCCCACGTTTCCTTTTTAATGGTATTAAAACAGATTTATTTGTTGCATCTGCAGCCCAAACGGAGGCGCTGTTTCCCCATCAACCATTATGTGACGTGTTCTATCACCCATCTAATCTATGCATGGTAATGGCCTACAAAAACCATTAACAATGTTTTAATCAAATTGTCCCTCGTCTTATTTTTTACCATTCGACGATGATCAGCCATTTCTTTGGTAATTAAAAAGATGCGACAGCTTTTTGGGTCTCAGTGAAGAGAATTGCAGAAGATACCCTCATAAACGTCATTAATGTAGGCCTAACCAAGATTTTCTTTTTCATCCTTGAAACAAAAGTAGTGTAGCTATTTTACATTTTTATTTATTTATTCTCAGTAACAGAATGCTACATTTATAGAAGGAAAAACATATCCTGATCATATCCAACTTAGTTTTTTAGGCGTCGATATCTGCGGCAGAATTTATTTGTTCTTAGTTTCTTCTCGCTACTTTCACAGATAATATAGTCGGATTTATGGTGGATGAACAAACTTTCCCGTGCCTGTTGGACCGGTTCTTTTATGAGCAACTGGTTTCATTGTTATCTTAAACTTTGCCTTCTATTTTTAAGTTCGGATTTTATATCTGATCTGAGGATTGACTTGACATTACTGCCAACAGACTGAACAAAAAATACCAGATTAAAGTAACGCGCGAGAGCAAAGTTTCATACGATAAGCCTACTTGCTGTTCCCATCACCACAGAATAATCCGGTAAATGTCTCGTGATCAACAGTTCGTAAGAAATCTGTCAAACTGCTCTAAATATCACGTAGTGTGTCTCCGTCGACAAAGTGTAACTTTAAACACAAAGGACTACAATATTTCACATCAAAGGTTCATAACATATATGCCCAGCCACTGGTTTACATCATCTATTGTATACATTTATGGAATTGTAAAAACGTCGATTCCAAGTTGATCATTTACGAAAATATTAAAGTAAAACCTGGTGTTATATATAAACACTCCAGTTAACGGTGTGACATTGCGTTATGCATACTCCTGTTAACGGAGTCACCTTTATATATATACACGTATACGCCCGTTAATAGTGTGACATACACACACGCTCTCTCTCCCGTTAACGATGTGACCGTGTGTTAATATACTTCCATTGCTTGTGTTAATATACTGCCATATAGCCCTTGAGTTGCTTTGCGTTAAGTTTATCATCCACTTTTGCAAGTAAGTAGTATTTATGATGACTCCTTCCATAATGAGATCACTCTAGTGGCAAAAATACAACACTATACATGGTACAAATAAATGTACGTTATGTTTCAAACTATATTCATCACCAAATGTATAACTACTTAGAGATTCTTGTCACCAGTAATTTTTAACGGTTAACATATGACACGCATACTATGTGTTATTATCATCTAGCGAGGGTAGCTATCCCAACTTAATATAAGCTAGGCAATAAAGAGTGAACCTCTCATGCAATGAATTGACTGTCAGTTGAACCACTTGTTGTATATATTCCAACAGTCAACTGAACCACTGGCTGTATATGATATTCCAACAGTCAACTGAACCACAGGCTGTATATGATATTCCAACAGTCAACTGAACCACTGGCAGTATATGATATTCCAACAGTCAACTGAACCACTGGCTGTATGATATTCCAACAGTCAACTGAACCACTGGCTGTATATGATATTCCAACAGTCAACTGAACCACAGGCTGTATATGATATTCCAACAGTCAACTGAACCACAGGCTGTATATGATATTCCAACAGTCAACTGAACCAAAGGCGCTGTATATGATATTCCAATGGATATTTTAACATTACATGATAATCTACTCTTACTTCACTGCAATGTTAATCTGAATATTATTATCATATAGTACCTTGATACATACACAAAAAATATGTTGAAACTATTTTTAAAATATTCTGTCATTGTGGTGGTCTTAGAAACTTAACAACAAAAAAAGGTGTTACTAATTATTTATAAAAACAAAAAGTAAAGGTTAGCTAGTCTGGTTTTATTGAGCCAACACACAGGAACACCTAGAGCCTGTACATTCAATAAGATTACAGAAATATGATCAGTTTATTTTAACCTGTGTATTTTATCCTTACTTCCAAACACCCGAGACTTTTTACTGTATTTTGTACCACTTAATACACTGTAACAGATTACGAAGGACATATTTCTAGCTCAGTTGAAGAGGAAGAGAAAGTATTAGTTAAAAATAACTACATTTACCTTGAGGCTAAATAGAGAGTCTGAAAGTTGAAACAGTCTGTAAACAAGAGTAAACCACAGTTATCATTGATTCAAACTTTTAGGGGCTGAACGTTTGTGTAAAAGATTTACAAGACACTTATATCATCCACTTCAAATTGTTCAATAATTGACTTATTTAGTAACGTTTGTGTAATAAAAAGATTTTCCAATCACTAATATTATCACATAGTTTGCTAAGACACTGTTCACTACCAATTGGTCAAAAGTTTCTTAATAACTAATCAAAACTACAGTTTTTAATACTAGAGTTGAGAGCTATAAATGGTTTTATCTTTTGGCAGCTGAGGTCTTAAAAATATATGTAAGCAACAGTAGACTAAAGATTTGTGTAGTTCCAGTGAAAAAGTATATTAATTTCTAAATGTTTAATTTCTTTGGTCATGTCACATAAAGGTTTTTTAGATTTTGTTTCCACTGAGATCATTCCGTTTCTAAAACATTAGTTAGCAGTATTGCAGCTAATCATTTACCTGTTCCTGAGACATTAGCTAGCAGTATTGCAGCTAATCATTTATCTGTTCCCGAGACATTCTTCGACATCTTAACCATGTGACCAAGGAATTTGAATTTACTGTGAACCTTCATTAAAATTGACTCGTATAGTTATGTTGAGTAAGTTTTAGATGTAATTGAGAAAATGACTATTCTCAGTAATTCAGAAAATTATTAAACCTCTTTGTGGGAAGATCAAGTAAGAATTATTTCTTACAAAATAAACTATAAATCTTCTAGAAGATCAAACTTTCTTCACAACTGAAAGTAATTCACCTGACTTAAATTGTTTATGTAGAAAATATGGATTAAGTGTCACAGTGTCTTTAACTAACAAGAGTTTACCAAGATTACAGTAAGTTGTCACATCTTTCAAAAATTTTACATTCTGTCACATTAATAATTAGATGTGTTTACTAATACATATAGATTAAACTATCTATAAAAACCTAATTCATCTTATATTCTTTTGTTCCGAACAGATACACATTTTTTACGGTTTTATTTCCATATAACATGTAATATTAAAGCTTCCCAGGGGAGGAGGATAGAAGTTCAATCTGGTTATTTTCAGGCACAGAACATGAGTAGAAAACTTTATGAAGGTTCTTCAACTTGCACGACCTGAGAACTCCAGTCAAGATGTCATAAGCATGTTCTCCAGGCTCGAGGGCCCTGACTCTGGCTTTAGGTCAACGAGGCTGAGAAAGGCCACTCTCAGTCATCGAGGAAGAAGAAATTTCCAGATTTTTTCTGCTCCGTATCCTAATAAAGAAAATTATTATTTCAGAAATTGAATTTTTCTCTACCTAAGGTAAGCAACAATAAATCATAGAAAACAAAAATGACAAAAGAAAGGGGTCCCCTGTTATACCTTCACTGAATTCAATTTGTTGATACGAGGTCTGAAGTTGTTTGGATCTCGACGAAAAGTGATATTAAGGAGTTCCAAAAACCTGTTCATCCCTGCCAGCAATGTTTGAGGGCTGCAAGTACAAAAACAAAACATTAACAACAATTTCTGAGAGAATAAAACTATATCACTGCTTCAAACCTATCTCTGTCTAATTTAGGTTCCATCTAAGTAATGTCCCATAAAAATAAAATGTGTATTCTATGTAATTATAAAGAAATGGGTGAAAAGCACACAACATAGATACTAAAGCCCGCCTTTGTGCTGATCCTTTTTTGCTCGTTCTACACTGCACTTTATGGAGTTCGTGCATTTCCGAGAGGTTATGATACCTTCAACCTCAAAAGACGGACTGATCAGCTGTCTATAATTCAGCCTGTCAAAATGAGTCTCAAATATCAATTTTTGGTTTATTACAAACAGACAAAGCAATCCCAAATCAAGCTTACTAGTAACAGTATTTTATCTCTGGCTCCATTTGGAACTAGTTTCTAGAACTCGAAATTAACACTCACCTACTAGCTACGGCTTTAACAGAAGGCTGTCCTTCAAAAACAATTACTCGGTCAGATAGATAGGTGGCCATGATGAAATCGTGCTCCACAACAAATCCAGTCTTCTTTGAATGAAGAATGAATCGTTTAATGACCTTGGCAGCGACCAAACGCTGCTCAGAATCAAGGTAAGCTGATGGTTCATCAATTAAATAAACATCGGCTGGCTTACCAAGGCAGAGTACTAATGCCACTCTTTGAAGTTCTCCTCCAGACAAGTTTTGTACCTATGGAAGAAACAAGGAGTCAATCAACCAGTCACACAAGGACTACAGAATTCTCCTCAAGACAAATTTTGTATCTGTAGATTCAACAAGGAGTCAGTCAACCAGTCACACAAGGACTACAGAGTTCTCCTCAAGACAAGTTTTGTATCTGTAGATTCAACAAGGAGTCAGTCAACCAGTCACACAAGGACTACAGAGTTCTCCTCAAGACAAGTTTTGTATCTGTAGATTCAACAAGGAGTCAGTCAACCAGTCACACAAGGACTACAGAGTTCTCCTCAAGACAAGTTTTGAACATATAACCATATTTACTATTGCAGATTTTAAAATAAATTGATATAAAAATGGTTCTAAAAGTACAGGAACAAAGATAAAAAGGGTGAAATTGACTGTCAAGATAGGTTTATTGGACTTGCATTGTGTCTTGGCCAACAGCAGTACTTGTGTATGTACTACTGCTTACTCGTCATCTCGTACCTCGAAAGACAGACCAAGTACCAGTTAAACTTTGATAACCTCATATCTATCATGAGCATCATAATCACAATCTATCAGATTGTGAACAGCAAGTAAGAGATTAATCATCGGTTATCAACAGCTTTTAAAAACAACAGCATGTGTATCAATGTAAAATCAAGCTATAGAACACTTCACAGAACGAGGTTTTAACTGTAATATACAGACGTCTGCATGTGTTTTAAGTTCAGCATAACAAAGTGGTGATTCTCACAATACAGTTAATTATATGAAGGAAAATCAGAACAATAGTCTATGAATATATACGTCAAGCTATGTATATTACAAACAATTGCTCTCAGATAGATGTCTATATATATAATGCATACGGTAAACATTGATACTGACATATCCTACACATTTTTAACTTTCTGATAAATTCGGTCGACTTGAAACTTTTTTAACACACGGTGTAGTTCAATAATATTTAAAATTAGTGTTTGTCACTTTGTTTGTGAACCTATTCCCAGCTTTGGTGAAATGAAACTAAGTACAACAGTAGAGAAGAGATGACTTTCATCTTAACAACTGTACGTACGTATGCTATTTCAAACTCTTAACTTTGACAAAACTAAAACGGAATCAGTCATAGTGCACGAACCAAAAAGTTGTACAATTTTTGTGAGTTATATTTACTCTACATTTGATGTTAGTTTAGTTAACAGTATTGATTCAAATGTTTAATTCATATACTTATTTTGATTTTCTATTATACATTATTTATATCTTGCAGATAACCTTCGAGCAGCTGAGAAACTTTCTACAAATATAAATTATTACAAAGGTTATTTTGGATTGTTATATGGATATTGATTGACCTAACTACAACTTTCTAATATGTTCGAACCTCACGAGATATTTGGATTACTGCCAACTGCAAGGGTACTCAAATGATGAACGAATACATTTTAAGTTAGCTATGTTATTTAGTTAACGTAATCTTACACGTAGCTTGCTTTCATAAGATTTTATGACAACAAATACATTTTAAGTTAGCTATGTTATTGAGTTAACGTAATCTTACACGTAGCTTGCTTTCATCAGATTTTATGACAACACATACATTTTAAGTTAGCTATGTTATTGAGTTAACGAAGTACATTGAGTATTAATTAAAGTGTCTTCCTCAGATGTAGAAATTATTATAATGTGACCCTTTTACCCTAGAAAGTCGCATGACAAATACGTGTTATTATACTTATCAAATTTTCCACTCAAAATTCAGATGTCGGTCGTAATGAGTCTCGGTGGAAGCTTTATTACTTTTGTTCCAGTAAGCAATGAGTTAACAGTTGTTGTCATAAAATTTGATGAAATCAAGCTACGTGTAAGATTACGTTAACTCAATAACATAGCTAACTTAAAATGTATTTGTTGTCATAAAATCTGATGAAAGCAAGCTACGTGTAAGATTGGAATTAAAAATTGTACAATTACCTCTTGGTCAATAATATTATCAATCTGGAGAGGTTTCATGACGTCAGCCACAAACTGGGGGTGAACGTACGCATCCCTAATTTTTTCATGAAGTAACTGTCTCACCGTTCCTTGAGATTTGGGTGAAATTTTTTGTGGCTTGTAGCTGATGAGCATGGAAGGAATCTCACCTAAACCAAGATACCAAATATTCATGAAAAATATATTAATCTTATTTTTTACAAATTGTTTATTGCACAAAAACACTAAAAAATAAATATTAAATTGAATAGATATAAATGGCATAAGCTAATAACAAAAAGGAAAATTAACACTATTTACATAGAACTCTCCAATAATTAGCACTAACCTGTTTTACTTTTATCCTAAACTCAATGTTGTTTGATACATACACTTTTAAAGCTGTCCAAACACAGTAATAAAACTGGATTTGAAATTAACCAGTAATGAACATTAGTGTGGTATACAGAACTTCCAACTTCTACTGATCATGTTTCAGCCTTTAAAATATATCTGTATTGAGAAAAATACAGCATTTAAAAACACATCTTCTCAACCAGCAGTACACATATACATCAACATCAATAGCATCCTCTTATGATGTCAACAACAGTACTCTGAAGAAAAACCTGGAGTAAACTAAATTAAACATCTCACACTAGCCAGTCAGTTAACACACCAGGCTAGACAGTTAACACATCAGGCAAGACAGTCGTTCAGCAAGCCTCAGTTAACACATCAGGCTAGACAGACGTTCAGCAAGACTCAGTTAACACACCAGGCTAGACAGTCGTTCAGCAAGCCTCAGTTAACACATCAGGCTAGACAGTCGTTCAGCAAGCCTCAGTTAACACATCAGGCTAGACAGTCGTTCAGCAAGCCTCAGTTAACACATCAGGCTAGACAGTCGTTCAGCAAGCCTCAGTTAACACATCAGGCTAGACAGTCGTTCAGCAAGCCTCAGTTAACACATCAGGCTAGACAGTCATTCAGCAAGCCTCGGTTAACACATCAGGCTAGACAATCATTCAGCAAGCCTCAGTTAACACATCAGGCTAGACAGTCGTTCAGCAAGCGGATCAGGCTGAGATACGTATTTAACACACCAGGCTAGACAGTTAACACATCAGGCAAGACAGTCGTTCAGCAAGCCTCAGTTAACACATCAGGCTAGACAGTCATTCAGCAAGCCTCAGTTAACACATCAGGCTAGACAGTCGTTCAGCAAGCGGATCAGGCCGAGATATGTATAATGATGATATCTTTACTGAAACTACATATGATCTACAAAATGTTAGATTTCCTCTTAAGTATAATATTATACTTTCAACCAAATACCTTTATTACATCACTTCATCAACAGTTCTTACAATTATTAAAACGAGTCAAATAAGTAGTATCTAAACCGTAACCTACATCCTCCTTCAGGCTTCAATCTACCAGCTAGCAACTGGATAAAAGTGGTCTTCCCCGTGCCGTTTTCTCCGAGCATCACAACAATTTCAGAATCGGTAAAAGTACCAGGTTCAACTGATAAAGAAAAATTACCTAGAAAAAAAGATAGGTTAGCATTAAATAAAAATAAGTTTGATAGGTTAGTGTTAAATAAAAATAAGTTTGTTAGGTTAGCGTTAAATAAAAATAAGTTTGATAGGTTAGCGATAAATAAAAATAAGTTTGTTAGGTTAGCGTTAAATTAAAATAAGTTTGTTAGGTCAGCGTTAAATAAAAATAAGTTTGTTAGGTCAGCGTTAAATAAAAATAAGTTTGTTAGGTTAGTGTTAAATAAAAATAAGTTTGTTAGGTTAGTGTTAAATAAAAATAAGTTTGATAGGTTAGTGTTAAATAAAAATAAGTTTGTTAGGTT